AAAAAAAAAGTATCAAAACCAATGAGGATATTTGATATTTCAATCAAAGCACTCTTCGTACCAGATCTTTAATGGCTTTCAGAAGTTCTTGTTTGGCTGCTTCAACTCCTTCTTTCTTTCCAATGATTGTAATCAGTTCCTTGTCTTCATCACTTGGTGTTGGGAATACAACCCTTGCGCCAGTATTTTCCCGAACTTTCTTGATGTTGGCCCCTCCTCTGCCAATCAGGAAGCGATGGTGCTGTGACTTTGCACGGATCTCAAGGGTGTAACTGTTAGTTTCCTGTGGCACACAAAAAAGAATCTGTTAAAGCAGAAACAGGTTTACCATTATGAGCCACTCAAATGTATGCTGCCTGCCAAGGGATTTGTGAGTGACAGTGATCAAAGGTCTTGCAGCATTACGAGGAAAACGAACCTTTCTTCTCAAACTTATTAATAATTTATCAAGTATAAACAAAGGAAATCATGGCTGTGACGGTGTTTGGATATGATTATCTGATCTTCCTTAGCACAGAATTTAACGATTACATTTCTCCATTTTCTCCTCAGTTTTAGTTTCGAATGAGAAGATATATCAAACACTCAAAGACAGAGTTGAACCATAATTCCAAACACCTCGACGTCTGTCAAAAATACTTTGCTGTGCGTCCTATTTTCAACTCTCTTCTCGGAGTTTAGAAATGTAGTCAATCAATCAATCAATCAATCAATCAATCAATCGATCGATCGATCATTTTATTTCTTAATCAGTTACCCTTAACATTTGGACTGGCCCATGGATAGCTAGTGCTAGTCTAGGCGGGAGAGTCTATCAACAGTTACAAACTTTCTTTTTTACTAATAAATAGAAAAATAGAAAGTTAGGGTAAAAAAAAAAAAAGTCTTTCGCATTTGATACAATACAGCACTAATGTCAGTACACCTGTGGATGCATGTTCTAGGGTCATGAACAGTTCACAAGAAAGAATTTACGTTGACATACACGTACAATGCAAAAGACGCGCTCAATATGGGATACCATAGTGAAAAACAATGGAAAATTTACGTATCTATTTCTTTCTTATTCACAATGTTGTTCGACTATGGCTGCAATTTTAGCACCTTTAACATTAACCAGAAGAATCTTATTCACAATTCTGATCCAAACCTTTTCATTCAAAAGATCAAGAAGTTGTTTCTTGGCCTTTTCAACATCATCCTTGGGTCCACGGATGAGGACCTTATCACTGTTACTGCCCTCTGGCGGGAATTTGATGCTAACTCCACCACACTCATCCATGATGGAGCGAATGAGTCGACCCTTGGCACCAATCACAGCATTGTGATGCTTATGTGGGACGTTAACTTCTATTTGAGTGACATTTGCCTGCAAAGAAGAGCTTACTTTTAAAACTGGTCTGAAACTTGGAATCACCAGTATTGACTTAAACAGTACAAATTCATTAGCTAGGCTACAAGTGGTCCTGCTTTTGCTTAGACCACCATGCATGACGCAAAAGAAATATATGGTCATGCTTGATGGACTAAACAAAAGAGGGAATACTCGTACTCTATAAATCAGCCCATTTAGACTGGGATTCATTTTTCTTATTACTCTTCTCTATTTCTTTGTCTTATTACAACTACATGTATTTACAGTACAGGGCACTTCTCATTGTTTGACTTATCAAAA